AATGCCCTTTTGTATAGCCTTCCATCAAGCATTTGGAATCTTGGAGCCCTCAACTTTACTTTTCTTACCCTATCCTCATCCTCAGGGAATTGCCCGGTCATGTAATACTTGACCAAGTCATCCAGCCAAATATCATCAGGTTCCACCAGGGTTAGATTGGGCTGTCCATCCTCCTCTATCAGGCTCACAGAAAGCCTTTCAATGCTAGCCTTTTCCAGCGTCTCAATCCTGGCCAACTTGAACACATGCTCCGGGGCTGCTTGCGTCAATTTTGATAGCAAGTCAGCATCCGTGTTTTCCCCCCTAGGGATTTTCTCCATCACATACTCAGTCAGATCCTTCAATAATGCCCTTGCCAAGTCTCTGTACTTCTGCATCTTCTCTCCTTTGGCCTCCATGTTGCCATTGATGTGGCCTACCACCAGGCTTGAATCGGACTTGATCCTGAGGCATGTGATTTGTAGGGTTTTGGCCAATCTCAGGCCCCCTATCAATGCCTCATACTCCGCCTCATTATTTGTGAGTTTGAAGTTAAAGATCAAGGCATGATATACCTTGAACCCCTCCGGAGTTGTGAATACCACACCTCCACCGTAACCTTTCGGTCCAGCGGCTCCATCTACTGACATGGACCACCAAGGCTCTGTGATCGTCCTTGCCGGTTCCTCCTCCTGGTGACCCGTCATCTCCACAAGAAAGTCAGCCACAGCGTGTCCCTTTATCGCCGTCCACGGACGACATTCAATGTTGAATTGGGTAAGCATCATGGCCCATTTGATCATCCTTCCCGATGAAGTGGAGTCTCTCATGACTGTGCCCAATGGTAGGTCGGTCAATACGACAATGGGATGGGCTTAGAAGTACGACGTGAGTTTCTTTGCTGTTATAAAAAGTGCGTACCCTGCCTTCTCCGTAGGAGTGTACCTACTTTCTGCCCCATTTAAGGCCTTGCTTACATAATAGATGGGCCTCTGGACCCCATCATCCCTCATCAAGACCGAGCTAACAGCCAATTGAGTAACCCCTAAGTAGAGGTAGAGGGTCTCCTTTGTTTCTGGCTTGGACAAGACAATATCCGAAGTCAGGTATGTCTTCAGTTCTTCGAATGCCCTGGCGCATTGATCATCCCACTGGAAGGTGTTGGCTTTCTTTAATACTTTAAAGAAAGGTAAGGCCTTCTCAGCTGATCTGGACAAGAACTGATTTAGGGCCGCCAGGCGCCCCGTCAATCTCTGGACATCCCTTACCGAGGTCGGGGGTTGCATCTCAACAATGGCCTTGATCTTCTCAGGATTTGGCTCAATCCCCCTCTTCGTGACCATGAACCCCAAGAACTTCCCCGTCCTCACACCCGGCAGTTTCATCAACCATTTGGTCCGGGCTGGGCAGAGGGTAAGAGTCCATCGGGCATGCCTTGTTGAGGTCTGTGTAGTCCACGCACATCCTCCAAGTATCACCCTTCGGGGCCAGGACTACATTGGCCAGCCATTCAGGGTAGTTTACTTCCCTGATATGACATACCTCAAGTAGGTCCTTGACCTCTTTCTTCACAAAGTCCCTCCTATCACTTGCCAAAAATCTCTTCTTCTGTCTTACAGGCCTAGACCCCTCAAGAACAGAGAGACGATGGCAAATGACTGACCGGTCAATCCCGGGCATATCAGCAACACTCCAGGCAAATAATGATTTATACCTGGTCAACACCTGGACAATCTCAGTCCTTAGCTCTTCCTGAAG